TTGCTTTACGTCTTAAATGGTAAGAAACCAAGGCCATCATCTCCATGATCATTTTGTCATATTGTGTTTGCAGAAACATGACTGAGTGAAAACTCTTTGTGAAAGAAGCAAACTTAAGTTGACAAAGGTCGCGTTCACTCTGCAGCCCGAAGTGAACCAAATCAGATTGTTTTGTTTTGTTTTTTAAAGCATTAGACAGTTGAACAATATAGAGAAAATAAATTTTTCTGTTTCAATGCTGTATGTCAATTTTACATCTTTTTGTGTTTTTTTGGAAACAGAGGAGTGAAGGTGAGCAGGGACCACCATGAGGACTGTATTCCCCTCTTTCCACTTTGCAGTTGACCGACTGTCCTGGTTGCTCCTTGCTCTGTTTACATCATGGATAGTCCTGGGTTCAGCAGACACAAAGCAGACAAGCTGGCCATTACACCCCAAGAAGCCAGTTATTATTGTCTGGAACGCTCCCACTCAGGACTGTGAGACACAAGAACGTGTTAAGTTATCATTAGACCAGGTTGACATAGTGTCATCCCCAGCTCAGGGCGTTGTCGGGCAGGCTCTCACATTGTTCTATAAGGACAACCTCGGGATTTATCCTTATTATGACACTAAAGACACAGAAGTGAATGGGGGCCTTCCACAAAGTGTCAGTCTCTCTCAGCACCTTGAAAAAATGTCTAAGGATCTAGATACATACATACCAGACCACCAGGCTAAAGGTGTGTCTGTCATTGACTGGGAGGAATGGCGCCCCTTGTGGATCCGAAACTGGTCTGCCAAAGATATCTATAGAAGGAAATCACGTGAGCTGTTGGCCAAAAAGAACTCTACATTGACTCAAGGGCAAGTGGCGACTGCTGCAAAAGAAGAATTTGAACTTTCAGCTAGCAACTTCATGCTGGAGACCCTGAAACAGGCTAAAAGTTTGAGACCGAATCAGCTGTGGGGCTTCTACCAGTTTCCTGATTGTTACAACCATAACTTCAAAGGGAAAATGGATAGCTTCACAGGACGCTGTCCTGATGTTGAGTATGAGCGCAATGATGAACTGAACTGGCTGTGGAATGAAAGCACCGCCCTTTTCCCCTCAATATACATGAGTTCTGACCTGCGCTCCACTGATCAGGGACGCCTGTTTGTCCTGAACAGGGTGAAGGAGGCAATGCGCGTCGCATCTGTTGGGGATGGATTGACACCTCCTGTTTTTGTTTATAGTCAACCCACTTTCAGAAAAGAGATGACCCTTTTAACTGAGGTTGGTTGATTGGAGGAAATAGTGCTGTTGTAAACTGTTATTTTAGTAATCAAGTAATCTTTCAATTATTCTTATAATTAATCAAGCAATCTGATAAAAAATTAGAACAAATTATTGGTAAATACTGTTGGACTAACAGTAATAATATCGGACATTCACATCGTCCCAAATTTTCATATGTGTGGAGCCT